TAACTCAGGGTGTGGTTGTTGTGTTGGCGACAGCTTCTACACCTTAAACAAAATCACGCTTAGGTGGCCCTTGGACCGGCCATCCACGTTATGCGAGGGGCAACCATTATTATTTTATTTGTGTGTGTGGTGAGTCAACCGTAGCAATAACACCTTCCTTAATTATCCCCAAAATATAATTATAAGTCACAGATCCTCGCTCTATGGGACATAAACTTCTCTAAAGCTTGTTCCATGTGTAGTCAAATATCTATTATGACAACAATATAACTTAAACCTCGCGTTAAAAACAGATGAAGGGTGGCAGAGCTGACCCTGGCCTGTGTCTGTATGGAGGACAAAGCCCTGAAGAAAATAACAAAATATTGACCTAAAAATACATATAATTTTTAAATTAGGACAAACTGAGAAAGATAAGATTTTGGGGGGAATTTAACATTAAAATATGAGATAATTGAATTAAAATGAGCCTTCAGTTATAATTGAATTATTATTTTTTATACGATTTACTCCTGATAATATTAAAAGTCTAGTAAATCGATTTTGGTACCGTCACACATTTGGAAAAATTTAAAGACGTGATCGTGTTTCTCGTGGTCAAGCTATATAGATTATAGTGATCATGTGGTCAGTGTGTGTGGGTTTTTTTATATGGGTTTTGGATTTAAGGGTATTTTTGTAATATTTCATTATATATATTTTCATTACAACATTATCAGTTCCATTATTAAAAATATATAACTTAACAGCACAAAGATTCGTTTGGTGTAACGAGTAAAATGTACTGTAATTTTGGTTTCCGTTATGTCACTAAATCATTATTATTATTATTATTATTTATTAAAAGTTACAGCAAGTTCTTACGACAACCCTAGCCTATTCATACCTTTATTTCATGCTTAATGTTGATTTAGATTAATGAGTACCGCTTGTAAGGCCTCGGCGACAATGGTGTTGTGTGTGACTTAGGATGAGTGGAGGAAAGAAGGAGGGATGGAAAGAAGGCGAGAGAGGGGAAGAGAATAGACGAGATGGGATGAGAGGAGACGAGAAAGGGGTAGGGAGAAGGAAAGAAGGAGACGAGAGGTAAGTTAAGAAAGAGAAGATAGGAGAAAAGGATAGAACAAGAACATGTCAATTGGGGCCAGAATTCCCTTGACACAACTTGTGGGTCATTATAATGTCATAACAATTTATTGCTGGAAAGTTAACGTTCCTCTTTATTGTATAGATATTATGTGAGAATATATAGAGCAAAACCACGAGGTAAATAGATGCTAAAATCCTAATCCAATCTATACCAATATGACCCTAAAGGTAATGACAGATATTGCCCCAAGTCTTCGAGGAATTTCGTACGCTACAAGTTTCCCAAAAAAAATATAAATTATGTTTTTTTTTGTTTTTTTACGCTTCCAATTATCTTATAAGTTTAATTAAGTGATATAACTTCATTAACTGGATAATGTTTTACACACCCACACAGGAAGGGTGAGGATAAAGTCTTTGGTGTAACTAACGCATATACCGGGAAGGTTAAGGTGATTAACTTTTAGCTACTGAGAGCATTAACCATCACCCACATTAGTGTGAGTCATAGTAGAGTCCATTAAAGTACATTGTAACGCACGGTGCATTAATTACCTCTACTGCCGTACAGTATCTAGTACTATTACACCTTTCTCATTTTATAATAAGCGAATATTACTTTTACTTACGTTATGATTAATGTTTTGGTTAAGTAAAGTCATGTAAGTGTCCGTGGTCGTTGCAACTGCCAGGGGTTATTGATTATATCTCGGTTAAGACTATTGACACCTCCCATGTACTGTCCGTGTTGATACTGAGAGGAAAGAAGAAATAGTAAAAAAAAATTATATGAAGAAACAAGAACTGGAACTATGAGAAGAATAAAATGATTAGGGAAGAAAGAAGGTAAATAAGAAAGAAAATATACAGAAGAAAGGAGAAACAAAAATAAAAGAAATGGTAACAAAGAAGAATAGCAAGATGATAAAAACGAAAAACAAAACGAAATAAGGATGATAAAATGAAGATAAAAAAAATATATAAAAAACTAAAAATAATATCAAAACCTCAGGAAGGAATTATTTAAAAAGAATAAAAGGAAAGAAGAAGCAAAAGAGTCGATAGAGGGGTGTTGATAGGTAAGAGAGAGAAAGGTGTGTGTGTGTGTGTGTGAGGGGGGTAGCATGTGGCCGTGAGGAGAAGCTCGTTCAGTGGGCTTCAACCCGAGAAGCGCCCACATGTTACAACCAAAACTAATTTGGTTAAGCACAGGGCCCCTCAGGACACGCTGGAGGAGGAGGAAGGGCGGAGTAGTGGTGAGAGGGCCTTTCAAGTACTTGCCCCCTTATCCCACCTACTTCCTCGCCCCCCTGAGAAAATTCCTTAATACCCCAGAGAATTGTATTTACATCTAAGAATCTTTTTTTTTTTTACTGTTTACACTCTACGAAGCCTTTGTTTACACCCCTTAGAGCTTTAATTTACACCCCCTGAGAATCCTTTGCTTACACCCCCGAGGACAGCCCTTATCTAAATCTTAACCAGCTCTCTCTCTCTCTCTCTCTCACGCTGTTTAGGTAGCCAATGACTTTAGTTTTTTTCTATAATATCTTTTATTTTGTTCGTATTCGGAGTATTTATGTGTGAGAGAGAAAGAGAGAGAGAGAGAGAGAGAGAGGTGTACATGAGGAGGAAAAAGTGTGTGTACATGAAGAGGAAACAGTGTGTGTGTGTGTGTGTGTGTGTACATGGAGGACCAACACACCCTGAATTAACATATATTAATAAAAGCTCCTTAAGTCTGTCACTAGCTTTTGTTTCTTCATCATTCAATAACTCTCTATATAGATTCATAAACAAATTTTCTATACAATATATAACCATATCAAAGGCTCAGAGGTTTTTTCCTGTTTATATTCGTCTAAGTTCAATTGTTACACCCCCTCCCCTCCCCTCCCCTCCAAAGTCGTTTCTGTTCAGTAACTTCAGAATTCAGTAAAAAAAAAATTGTGATGGCAGCTTAACGTTACTAACACTGACTGAGTTTTATAATGGTTAGCGTCATTACGTGTGATTAACTGTTTACATGGTCCCGGCGACATATGTTGAGTAAAGTTTGCATTAATGATTTGGATCACTTGAAGATTAGCCCTCCTAGCTTATTTCACCTGATGTTACATGAAGGGGTTAGGTTAGATTAGATTAGGTTAGATTAGGTTAGATTAGGTTAGGATTAGGTTAGGTTAGGTCTATAAACACTTCAGAGGACATTACTTAGTCGAGTGTCCAAATCTGAGGCTGGCAGATGTCCGCTACACTACGTCACAGGTTAAGGTTGAAGAAGCCACTAGGTCCAAAAACTTGTCAGGGCAAACGTTTTTGGAGTGAGTGTGTTGTGACGACATCGAGTGTGAGCTAATTCATACTTGACCAACACTGACGCAGGTATAGATCAGTACTTGCTTACAGTGTGTACCAGAGCCAGTACTTGCTAACAGTGTGTACCAGAGCCAGTACTTGCTTACAGTGTGTACCAGAGCCAGTACTTGCTAACAGTGTGTACCAGAGCCAGTACTTGCTTACAGTGTGTACCAGAGCCAGTACTTGCTTACAGTGTGTACCAGAGCCAGTACTTGCTAACAGTGTGTACCAGAGCCAGTACTTGCTAACAGTGTGTACCAGAGCCAGTACTTGCTTACAGTGTGTAGTAGGCCCACTTGCTAACAGTGTGTACCAGAGCCAGTACTTGCTTAGTGTGTACCAGAGCCAGTACTTGCTAACAGTGTGTACCAGAGCCAGTACTTGCTACAGTGTGTACCAGAGCCAGTACTGTGTACCAGAGCCAGTACTTGCTTACAGTGTGTACCAGAGCCAGTACTTGCTAACAGTGTGTACCAGAGCCAGTACTTGCTAACAGTGTGTACCAGAGCCAGTACTTGCTTACAGTGTGTACCAGAGCCAGTACTTGCTTACAGTGTGTACCAGAGCCAGTACTTGCTTACAGTGTGTACCAGAGCCAGTACTTGCTTACAGTGTGTAACAGAGACGTAACCGACCGCCTAAACGGAAACAAGCCGATCAGTGGCCAAGAGGATAAGTAAAAGTATGTGCCAAGATTGAAAACAACAATGGTAAACACAATAGGTTCCAAGAAATTGTGGGTGAGGAAACATGGCGAGGGTTGGTCACACTCAGGATGGGATGGAGGAAGGAAACTTGGTGCTGGGAAGTGGCAGCATGGTTACAAGTGTGATGTAGAGAGAGCTGGTTGGTGAGGGTGCTTAGAGGACAGCTTGTGGGTCACCATGCTCGTCGAGGACCACCAGGCAGGAGCAGGAGGTGTTGCTGGCTGGTTGGTGGAGGTAGAAAAGAGAGTGTCTGTAGGGGAGGAATCCACTACAAGCCCACCCAGCCCCCATACCCTTATTTCTTTTATTTATTATGGGCATTTTGAGGCCATGTGTACTTTATTTTAGGAGATATTCTAAAGTCAATACTAATTACTTTTTACTATACAAAAAAACGCCTGAGTGCAATACTGTATTAGAGAAAAAAAGTATTGGAATTGTCTGGTGAAATAGGGGACCAGACCTCCCCCCCTGCCATGTCAATAACCAGTGGGTGTTACCTTATCACTCTTCACCACTGTTTGGCTCGTTAGCTGCTCGTTAGCCTCATATTGTTTTCATAAAAATTAATTATATTTATACAAAATAAGTTTTTTATTTTACGTTCACTCTATTTAATGATATAATTGTTACAGTAAGAGTAAGGGATAAAGAATACCACGAACAAAAGTAGTAACCTAATCTTTTTCCAGAAGATACAAAGTAAATAAACCTATCTTAATCCAGTCAAAAAAAAATTCTATCCTCTTTTATTATATAATCTTTTTTAACTAAAGTTCAGGTAACTTAAAAATAAAATAAATCATGTATGTTCGTGATAATATTTTAACATTATCCCTCCTGGCAGTGTGTAAACAACTCTACCTTTAATTGGCTGAGGTCTTTAAATTATCAAACTATGTCTGTTAATTTGTCCAGCAGAACATCAATTAGATTACTTCACAGTCTAATGAAAAGATCCAGTGTCTAGTGAGTAACCAAACTATATTAAAGACTTTAGATAATTAAGAGACAACAGGTGTAAGGTGTCAGGTGTGGTGTGAGGCTCCCGGCATGAAGTCATTAATAATATTATTTATTTTTAGTGGGTAAAGATTCTTAATTGTATATATTAGTCAACGTTCAATTATGATATCGTGAGAATTATTAAAAAAAATATATTCTCTCGTTAGTAGTGGAGCCACATGGGACAAGGCCATTAGGGTAGGAACTATGTAGATTATATTATTTTATTCCTTAAACAGTCACTAGTCATCAGGTCAAACAGGGGCTAATATTGACGACTACACCGCTGATGAGTTATTTTTTATTTATGTTTGTGATATAGTCTTCAGTATTAGCCGGTTAAGGTTAGGTTAGGTTAGGTTAGGTTAGGTTAGGTTAAGTTGAACTTTTAAATAAACACATTTTAACACATTTGCCTTAACTACGATGGTAATTATTTATGACTTCAAAGCCGCTGATTTTTCATAGAACACGAATATAAAAAATTCAGCAATTACACTGTTTTATAGCGGACACTGTCTTAGTTATGGAAAATGTGTTAAAAAGTGTTTATTTAAAAGTTTAAGTTAACCTAACACCTGCCGTGGGTGAACTTACTGTTACTGTAAGTGTACTGTAGTTGGAATAGTTTATTAGTGATAAACTGTATCCTGAAATTCCCTGCAAAGTACAGTACTACTCTAAATGTATGAACCATAATAACCTGCATTATACTGTAATTGATGTTTGTTTCAGCAGCACTGGTATCCTGCATCATGGACTGACTACTTCATCACAACTCAGCACTGACAAGATTATTGTACCTAACAGAATACCAAGATCATCAACAGCTATACTTGAGGTAAAGATATTATAGTATTGTATGTTGGTCGCTGATACACAAATATGGAATGAGTTTTAATAAGATAAAAAAGTGATTGCAGAGTACAGATACCTCACTACCCTCCTGGCTGCTGCATCTATGATTGTACAGTATATTACATACAAACAGTTGGTATGAGCTATGATGTCTGTATATAAAAAGTTGAATGCTCCTCCTCTGTTTCTACATTTTTATAGGTATTTTTGAAAAGAATAATGCTGTGGAATCTTTTCTAGGCGCTGGCAAGCACTGTGAGTCGCGACACCTCAGGACCACATTACAAGTATCACGATGATCCTTACTTAACACCGGCCTCCAATCTTGTCAAGAGGACCTTTTCCCTCTCCAAGGAAGCTGGACGTAAGGCTGCACGATGCATACGTGATGAAAATGCCAGTCTTTTCACACACCGGCCAGATGACCCATTTATTGAGGTGAGTCTTGTGTATTTTGAATCATTAATAAGGTGTTCTAGTATGTTCCTTGTTATTATAATGTACTGGTTTGTTATCTGACCAATCCAACAAAATATACGTACTTTTAAAGGTAGCTCCCAAGTATCAATAAGTTATAGTGTTTTACTGAGTGTTGGGAAAAATATATTGAAGTTTAAATTATGATATTTTAATAGAAACTCAAAATAGTTAACTTCACTTTTATACAAAATCTATAAACATGTGGATACTTACAAATAATAATGATAAATTATTAGTTAGGTATTTCCCACAATAATGGTAAATAAATGATACTTTTCACTTGAACACACATCTATCCAAACACCACTCAAAGGGAAAATATAGACAATACTCTACTAAATTAAATAATCCTCTCCACACTGGTAGCACTAATATTACTTTAAAGGCACAGCACAGTACAGTACAGTACAGTATCCCTAATCAACCTGGAGCAGTGAGAGATCCAATAACACAAAAATTCTCAAGGTTCTGGAGGTAGGAGATGAGATATCCAATTCCCGACCATAACCCGTGACGGTTGCTCTTCAACCGCCTCCTGAAACACACCATGTCTCCCCCCTCACGACCAGGACCAATCACAGTGGTCCACGTACATACCACAGTACTCTATACTGGGATGTGATATTCAACTCTGATGGCCCACATATTTCCCTTCACCTTATTTACCTAAGAACTCATTGAAACAGTTTTTCATAATATACCTTTAATATTTATTTGTATTTGTAAAGTTTCATTCTCATGTAACCACTGTCATATTTAAATATAACTCTGTACACTCCATATTGATACTACTGAAATTTCTTGTTCCATTTTAGGCACATAATGTACAGCAGCACCTGGGATATGTAGGGTACACATGCTAATAGCTCCTGTATTCATGCCAAAAGAAATGGCAACTTATGTTTTATTTTATTAATATGTGTTGAGTTATTATTCCACCAAGTTAAGTAGAGTATAGTTGACCAAACAATGAATATACAGTACTGTACAGGGCATAAACGACAAGTAACAGATAATCGTTCCCTCATTGATGAGCGACGAATATGTGAAATGACAACTAAAGGGACCAGCTGTACTGAGAGTTGGTAAACAGAGAAATGGCTGTGTGTGTGTTCTGATGTTTTAAAATGATAGTTATTTTGTTACAGGATTTTTTCCCCAAAACTTCTTACACTGAAGAGAGCAATGTGAGTGAGGAAACCCTTCATGACCTGATCCAGAAATGTTCAGTGTCAGATGCCATTACTGTGTATCATATCTGCAAGTCTAAGGCTGTTGGTAAGTTGTAAAGAAGCTCTAGTTTTGTTTACACTGTATTTGAGGCACACACAACCTAAGTAGGACAAGCGTCGTAAATGAAAAACGGAGAAAAATGCAGTTAAAGTTTACAAACCTTCAAATTACCATAACTTTGGAACCAGTGAAATATATTGAAGTGATTCAAGTGACAGATTGTATCATTGTTAGTGCAGATATAATTAATACTAGTTCAAGACATCATACATATTGTCTTCAGGCATACCGTCACTTGGCCTACTTTGGTTCTGTGCTTATCTAATCATAAAACTTTCCCCTGCTTTACTTCTTGAACCTTGATGCTCTGCACTACACCAAGGCTCGTCAATAATGCACCTATGAGGCTTAAGCATTCACAGCATGCTTTAAACTTGACCTTTATATTATACCAAATACTTGTGGTTTGTGTAAATGGTACAAATTTGTTTACAAAAACCCAGAAATTAATTTTAAAATGTACCTATATTAAAAGATAGTTTAAGCTAGAAAACCTGTTTTTTAAGTCCCATGTGTGTGTGTCAAAATGTAAACTTAAGTTCTTGTAGCTGTGTAAGGTAGGATCAATCATCCCCCCCAAACACACACACATATTTAGTTAAATAATCCTGTACTGCACCTGCTCCAGCCATAGGAGTTAGGACGTGTGAAGAAAAAAGAAAAGCACATAGTTTGCCCTAATTCAGTAGTCACAGATAGGAGAAGTATAACAAATGAAGCACTAAGAGGTAGAAACAGGGAAATAGTGTAGGAAAGAAATGAAGACTTGGTAATCATTATAGATACAGTACATTATATACTGTACTGTACTAATGTGAAATCTGAAAAAATGTTTAGTGTATGTATAGTTAACCATTTCACACTAGTACTCCCCTTCCACAACAAGGCCCCAGGTACCCTTCTGGTTTCTTACCTCTGTTATTTCACACAGGCAGCATCAGCAGAATGTATTTGCCCCCCCAAAAATCACTCCATGCCATACTCTCCACTTGTTTACACACACACACACACTACTTTTCCCTTATCTCTCATAGTCTTCCCATCTTCCTACTACCATCCACTTCTGAATTATACACTTGTTTTACCAATGTTTTCCTTTTCCTTGGTTTGGTAAGTTCATACCACCCGAGCAGACTTATCTGCTTCATGCCTTACTCCTTTTTCGTGGACACATTTTTCTTTTTTTTATTATTATATAACGTGTATGTACTGTATATATTATTTTCACACACATTCTTTTTCTTGTAGAGTTGAGTGATAAAGTTCGCCAGGAACTTCTTGAACTGGTCTCCTATTACAACTGTGAGGACCCCCTGGATAAAGACTGGGTTGAAGAGCGCTGGTACCGCCAAGGTGTCCTGACAGTCAGGAAAACATGGAAGTAAGTAATTATCTCGGATTTTTTCTTTGACATGTTTTATGTGTTAGAATATAACTCTGCTTGGTCTCCAAGATGTACCAAATATTTTCAATTGATTGAGACTGTCTAAAGATGGGCTTTCAAAACTTTATGTTTGACACTGGCACCTCACTTCCCAAGAGTTACTAGAACATTAGAAAGTAAGCTTTACATATCTAGAGTCAGTGGTTGGCTACTCCTATGAGGTCACAGCCTCAGATTAGAGAAGTTATCAGTACAGTTACTTGCCAAAACTAAAAACTTTGGAATAAGAGTTGTTAACTTGTATAAAAAACTTGCTAGAGAACATTGTTACATCACCAGAATTGACACACACTTGGACTTGACTAATCACCCAACTAATAACTTGACAAGTTGTGAAGAGGATAAAGTAACGTGAATGGTTAGATCTATCAAGGTGTTGCAGTTTAAAAAAAAAATCAATGGTTTATACACATTTACATGTGATTGGGCTTTTAAATTCATTGATATTAAAGGCTTTACAATGCCAGTGCCAAGCAAACAAAAATCTGTGTGTGTGGGGAGGGGTTAATATAAAGAGTATGATTCAAAGTATTTTACAAAACAGTTTACTCAGCAGTATTGTGTTATGGTTGTTACCAATTACAGATATTTAAAGTCAAGAATCTTGTGTTATGAGGATAAGAAGAGCAATGCATTTTTTCATATACTGTACAGTACTCCCACTAGATTATGTCAAGTTTTAGTTGTACCCAAACACTAGTGATATTTTCTCCTAAAATAGAATTGCCCTTGTATGTGTGTGCTGTGGATTTTTGAAGAGTCAAAGCTGGTATGATTAATGATGACAGTATATAATTAACTTTAGCCATTTAATATTATGTCTGGGCTTCCATCATGCTAAAGTTTGGAGAGAAGCCGTACCCTATCTGCCACTTACAGTACACTTTTTTCCCTTGTTCAAGACTCGGCTTTTGGTTATATAAAATAAGCAATTCTGTAGATCCACAAAAAGGTCTCAAATGTGTGTACTGTATTGTAAGCTTTAAGAGATAAGGTATTTGACTTTAATTATTATATTTTAAATTGTATAATTTTCTTTTCAGAGATAACGGACTTGCTGAAGAGTTGTTCGAGTCTTTAAGTAACAGAGGACCTGCAGCATATAGTGCCCTGATTCGTGGTATGGCTCAGTACTTGCAGGTATGGTTGTATACAGTAGATGATTAACTACCTACACTATATTGTCCATATACTGTAAAGATTGACTGTGTATACTGTATCTAAGACAGACACACTCACGCACAATGACTAGAGATTACACAAATAGTCTGCCACAATTAGGAAGGTCATGAGAGGTGCAGGAACCTAACCTCATTACCCAGCCAACTTCTGCTGTGTATAGGTGTACAACTGTTACGTATTGTGTTGGAGATGTAAATTTTCTATTTTTAAATATAATTGTAATCGATAGAAGTGAACATGAGAATTTAATAGAAGCCCTTTTTGTACATGAAGAATATGTGCTTTGTTCACATGATAAAAGTGTGATTCAACACTTTTTATGGGTAATTAATTTAGTGATATAATACCTGCATGTGATATTTTCATGTAGGTTGACAGAGCCTGGCAGCTTTATCAGGAATGCAGGGAGAAGGATATTCCTCTGGATGCTCACACTTACAACTCTCTCATCCGGGTTGCTTCATATCTCCGCGATGCCTTTGAACTTCGGTGGCAGCTAGTCAAGGCAAGTTCACCCATAATATAGTATAGTATCTTGCTTCATATAGTCCTTTTATTATTCAAGGGAGCTGTACAGTGAAAGGAACAAACAATTGACTCTGGAAAAGCTTTTGTTGCTCTCACTCGTAGTTACCTGCTGAATAATACCTCTAGTTTATTATTGTTCTGATAGATTTCCAGTTTATGGTAAGAAAGAAAAAAAATCAAGATATTCATTAATTTTTGTGTGTGTTCATCTCCCAATAATCAACTTGTATACCTTATGATGGACACAGCCATATTAGGTACAGTATTAGTGTAGTACAGTACTGCCACAGATACTTTTACACTCTGTTAAGTTTGTTATCGTGACAACACACACACACTCTTCATTTTCCTTATATATACTTGTAGTACTCAGACTTGAATTATACATAGAGAAAACAATTATTTTTATTAAAATTTATGAATTTGTATTAGAAAAACTCACTCCATACAAAAACCAACACCATCTCTGAATTTTTTATCATTTCTAACCCAAAATATATGACAAAACTGGTATTCTTGGTAGCCATGGTACCATACCCTATTGTTCCATGAGGTATTAAATTCGGTATTTGCAATTCTCGACTCGTGGTTATTTCCAAGAACGTAACCCTTGCAAATAAGGGGGGATAAGTTTATATTGTACTCATTGGTGGCCAAAGGTGAAGTAAGTGAGCGGTGGGAGGGAGGGTGGCGGGGCATCGCTGAAACACACTGTGTGGGGATCGTCTTGTGCTTCTTCTCCTGCTGTCTGCTTTCCTCTCGTGAAAAAAAAAATCCAGTGTTGACTGCTTGGTTTGCTTCTTCTTCTCTGTACAGTTCGTAGTAGCATCAGAAACTCTCCATGATATTTCAGTGCACAAGAGTTACGTTCTCTATTAGGGTCATCTTCAGCCAGCATATAGTCTCTCCTCTATATGATTGAATGCTTGCATGAATAGTGCGCACCGTGGTAGCGGGTATACCCAACGCTACCACTATATCCACAGCACACTTGTTGACATCTTCACTACAAAACTGATGCTTCTCCATTGCTTCTTGCAACTAGCAGAATTGCTTGCTGTTTGCTTTGAAGCCTGATCAATGGGCATAGTAGAGCAAAAAACATAAACAAGGTGAACATAAGGTACACAGAACACTCGACGGCATCCACACTCAGCAGAGGCTTAAGTGAAAATGATGCTCCTCGGTGACATTGTACACCAAAGACAAAAGTCGTGTCGAGGTCTTGTCCGAATATTAAATATAACTCGTGAAACATTATGAGCTCCCTACCACAAGGCAGAGCGCACCAAAAGTTGAGCCCTTCGGCATACGTTTTCACCAAATTTCACGACACGACTTTTATCTTTCATTGTACACAACGTTGTGTGGAACCTGGGTATAGAAATAGTATCGACGCAATTAGTAAACATTAACTGGAACAGCACTTAAGCGAGGTCTTGCTGCAATATACATTTGTACGCTAGTTTTGTATTTACTGTACTTAATTGTATTTGTGTACTGTACTTATCTTTCTTTCCTATTCTTTTATTGCTACTTTGTAATTACAGTACATTGTAGTGTGTAGGTATAGTACTGTAATTGTATATACAGTACATTATGTGTACTATGTGATTATCCATAGAAGGGTTACTTCTGGTTTATGGATAATTCAACTTGTGGATAGCCTCCAGGAACTTAACCCATCCGTTACCTGGGCAGTGTCTATTTTCATACATCTTAACTAAGAAAACAAGGGTCAAAGACTGCTGTGTGGATTTCATTAAATTTACTTTTGAGTCTTTCATCAAGTAACTTAGCCTTACAGTCTCCATTCTTGTTCTGATTTTCTTTCCTACATTTCCAGGAACTGTTGACTACCATGGCAGAATCAGGTATTGACCCAAACTTAGGAACACTGAACAGTACTCTGGAAGCCCTCGGTCAGGTGGCTAGCTGGCGACAGGCACGGCAGATCAGTCTTCAGGTCCTCGCCGAATTCAATAGCCTCGGAATCCAACCATCCCTGGCATCATATTATTACCTGCTGACTATACACTGCCGAGAACGTGAGTTTTACTTCTTGAAATTTCCACGACCTCCTCTGATTTAAATGTTTTTTGTGGAAGTTTTATACTATTAAATATTTATGTTTTTTACCTTACATTCAATTTTTAATTTCAATTGTTTATTCCTTGATAGAGGAAGCGGGATCCTAGTGCTGTCACTAGGTACCCCTGTACAATGACACCAGAAGCATCTGGCAAGTGTGACAAGTATATACAGTATACCTTACATACTATGATTTTAGTCGTGTAAGCTTTTATTTTAATTGGGCGGCATATGACCTAAGCTGTTGGGTCACCAGGGATGTAATTACCACAATCAATCAATCCTCTGGTAATTGGACATCATCTAGGACAGTGAATATCCTGGAATTTTAATTAAGTTCTCATTGTAATGTTACATGAGGGGTATTTATTGTGACACTAAAGCTCTATCGTATAAACAATTAGCTTGGAAACCTACAGAGGCAAAATATGATGCTAGAAATTGTTATTAATTGTTGAAGGCATAAATATGAAATACTGTATATGAATAATTAGGGATTATTGAACAGCTCCTCCCCGACTTACGACGGGGTTAGGGACCCAAATCCAGGTCGTAAGTCGAAATGGTCGTAAGTCAAAAATGCTTAAATAATACATAGAAAATCTAAAATGGGTGTCTTTTTCTTCTCAGCATCACAAAACTCACTTTTAAGCTTGCCAGCCATTTTAAAGTGAATTACAAACGAAAATTTTGTCAGTACACAGTGCAATCACTAACATTGGGACTCGAAAATACGTAATTTGACAAATTTTTGGTATGACTGAGGCAGGTCGTAAGTCGGGGAGGAACTGTACTGTTTAATGGTGCTCAATTATATGTTCTTATCAGATATATAAGATCGTGTGTATGTAAATAGTGTAGTAAATGTCTTTATTTAATGGACGTGTATTGTACAGTATACTGTATAATGCTGGTACCTGCTTTGCTGGTAGTAATTTTTTGGGTCATACGCCTGGTGTATGCCTTGCCTTCATTACGAATCCTTTTTGAAACATTACTCTTCCACGTGTGAGGCCGTAAACGTCCATGACGGCCCAGCCTCGGGTTCACTCACAACAGGTGCTGGATCATCCACATATGACACACTTTGTGATAGAGGAAACCTTGTTGAAACTTGCTGTGGTGGTACAGTATCTCTCGGGCACGGTGACACTTGTGCCCGTACTAGGTGGTGGCCTCACACCATTTATAAAGTGTTTTATTACTTTTGTTGACTGGAAAAATTTCTGTATGAACGAATCTTCATTTCCTTTGCTATTGATAACGAGTGGTGGTTTCTTGTCTTTATCTCACTGTGACCAATAGGGGCATCTGCTGCTCTATTTAACACTTTCACAATAAAATAACAAGCCAAAACCATCAGTATAAGGAGTGTCTGGCTGTAAACAGTTTTAACAAATAACAGAGTTTCCCACCGGACAAACTGAAGTAATGGTCAGGTGCATTTGGCTCGGCTCATGTCAGCTGCATGGCTAACATTATCTGAATCTTCTAGAATTTTCTTTGGTCTTTGGAGTTTTTCGATTTCAGAAATTTTGGATAAAGGATTATTAACTTGTACAATACCTGTTCAGTAGATCCTTGCCATTCTCGGGTGTACAGTTCACGATTTCGACGATTCACGGTAAGCAGATGGTGGCTATGGTCGCTAGCTTGCGAGCCTTTTCCTGCACACAATGAGTTACCCCGCGCAGCATCTCGTGTTGTACTCTCAAAACTTTAGTGTTTGTGTGTGAAATGGCCCCTGAAAGACTGCCAAGTGTCAGTGCTAGTGATGCTAGTGGAGTGAAATGTAAAAGGCAGAAGTCAGTGATGACCCTGACAAAGAAAGTCAAATTATTAGATAAGTTAACAGAGGGGATGAGTGCTGCCACGGCTGGTCAGTTGTTTGGTATAGGTATACAGTAGAACACTAAGGTAGTATAAGTTGCTATTCATGGTTTTGCCTATTCACCCCATTCCTTGGAACCTAACCCCCGTGAATAACAAGGGTTTACTGTACCTGTATAAGGATCCATGGATATTTGATAATTTGTTTAGCAGTTCATGTAAAAAGGAGAAAAATGTAAATCAACAAGGAAAATATTCTTTATTAATAAATAAATATTTAGCAATCTGCAGAATTGGAGACAAACATACGAGTCTGAGACACTTGAACTATGGCTTTGAAGATGATTGATGACTCGTGTAAAATAACAGAATTAAAGCATTCATGTATTAAAATATTTATGTAAGATAAGAATTTACACATATGTATTGTCGCTAAGAAAAATTATCACTGGAAATATCCAAATGTATGTCAATTTTTAGTGAATAACTCTTTTAAAACATTTTTTTCAGGGGGACCCATAAGTCATATCTTGATTGATATCCTTGACCACATTGAGGGAAAGGAGTTCAGTGTTGAGGATCCTAAAGACACATTCTTCTTCGTCACTGCTATGGGTATTAGCCGCAACCATGTACAGGTGAGAGGCTCTTAAATTTGCTGGTACCTGTTACTTATCTCAAGCATTCTGCAGTCATATATTCATAATTCTCAACTGAGTGTCAACTGCTGCAGCGTTTGCTTATATAAGAATCCATAAAAGTTATCAAAATATAATTTCTTTGCTCTTGCTCTACTTTGCCATGGATATCACTTCAGTGCTCCAATGTGACCTAGAAATAAAGAAAATCTAATATAAAACTATAAAATAAGATAAGTTAAAAGTAATAAATGAATTGTTTGTGGGAGGCACAGTGGTTGGCTGGTGGACTGAGGCTCTCCACCATTCCCAAGCCTAAAACCTTATAAATAGTATAATGTGGATTTTGTTTTTGAGCACGATAGTGATTTTTTTTCTTATATAGTTTAGTACGTATATTGTTACTATCACAAACATTATTGTCACTCGCACAGTAATTTCACTATTATACACACTATTGTCATTATCACACACTATCTTGTTACTGTCACACACCATATTGTTTCTGTCACACACCATATTGTTACTGTCACACACACCATATTGTTACTGTCACACTCACCATATTGTTACTGTCACACACCATATTGTTACTGTCATACACACCATATTGTTACTGTCACTCACCATATTGTTACTGTCATACACACCATATTGTTACTGTCACACTCACCATATTGTTAATGTCATACACACCATATTGTTACTGTCACACTCACCATATTGTTACTGTCACACTCACCATATTGTTACTGTCACACTCACCATATTGTTAATGTCACACACCATATTGTTACTGTCACACTCACCATATTGTTACTGTCACACTCACCATATTGTTACTGTCACACTCACCATATTGTTACTGTCACAAACAATATTTGATTTTGCAGAGCTTGGATGTGGCCAGGAGGGTGGATGACTTGCTACACACTGGTAGTAACTATGATCTGATCGGAGACTCGTATAAAGAATCCATTTATTAGTAAGTAGACTTTAACCAGGTAGTGGGGTGATGAAGTAATATTTATAGTGCATACAATTATGTCATTTTTATATAGCTGAAGTGGTGATAATTTAATGCAGGCTTTATATAATACTTTTGACAATTATATTGAACTTGACTCTTTTGGAGATGTGTGTAATACAATATTGTTCCCTCCACAGTCGTCACTATTTTGGACTGGCTTGTTCATCTCTGACTATTGATGACTTCATGTTACTGTACCAGGAATTAGTCCCACATATATATACTCCAGAACCTGGGGTAATGGGGGTAAGCAAAATCTATTTAATGTTTTAATTAGAAGGCTCAGTTTGTCCTCCCCCCAATATATTGCTGACACTGAGTAATGTTTGTTTCTATTAGTGAATCTGTTCATGAAGGCTCTGTTCTGGGAAGGGATAGGCTAATTATTCTGGCCGTTACCTCAAAGACAGTTCATAAATCTTTTTGAATTTGTGACATGAGGGAAGGTGTTAACATGGAACAATATCCTAAACGAGGCATAATAAGGAATAATATCAGTGGAGATATTAGCCGACTCGCCACCCAGTAGTACTTAAGAGCTGGTGTTTAACTTGAAATTTTGGGGAGATATTCTTTTTTTTGTTTTTGTTTTTCACTGTTACATGCACACAGAATCATCCATACAGAATGTGGAAAAATAGTACTGTATTAAAAAAAATTATCATAAGGTAAAAACATAAAGGGAATAAACATTTGTTCGGGCCAGCTGTGACCTACAGTTTGTTATTGTTATTTTTCATCACAATTTCGAGTAGATATACATAATTTTCTTCACAACCTTTATATACTGTACTATATACTAATGAAAATATTCTCATAAAATTTCATAAGTTGTAGAATGTCAGGAGAGCAAAGAGAATTATTTGAAATTTCTAAAAGGTGTAAATTAAAACAAAACCTTATTATTTTGATTAAGTTTGCTTGTGAATTACACAATAAATTTAGTTACCCCTATAATGAATGATAATGTAATAGATACTGAAATTTAGGTAAAGGAATATAATTTTTGTGCGTCTTAAGTACAGCCAACAAAACATTTTCTTGACTTCTACGGGGTTATGCTGTATGACACACCGGACCATGAATAATTGTAAACAAGACTCGTGAGTTATTGGTCTTATATGTATTCCTGTTAATGTCTATGTATTAAATATATGTGATATACAGAACACATCGTCTTGGTTACACAATGCATCACACAAGTACCAACCTTAACTTAATGTACACCCACTAGAAGATTATTCTGCACCTTTACCACAACATGACACACTGGACCAAGAAATCTGATAATAATCATCATGGCTTCTGTCACAGTGATTGTTGCCGATGGTTTCAGAGACAAGGATGCAGAATATTGTTTTATTGACTGTACATGATAGTAATGGTGTAATTATTAAACTTGGCTTTGACAATTGATTTGTATTACAGTACATGTTTCTAAGTTTATTGTAGAGTTTCTAATTTACAGGAGGTGTTGAGGTCAGTGGGAGTTCAGGAGGCATTTGAATATTTACCCCAACTATGGTCAGACATGATAGTGTTTGACCACACTAATCAAGAGCGGCTCGTCACGCTTGTGTTGTCGGCACTGTCCAAGTATCGGCCGTCACAAGAACAGGAGCAGTTAACTCGGCAGCTGGCAGATATTGCTTGGGATATATGGACTAGGGTGCAGGGACAGGATGAGACCAGACGACAAAAGGTAACAGTTTAGATCTTGGTCAACATTTGAACAAACAGTTTGCCACGATGTAGGAAAATATTCTCTGTCCCTTTGTTCTAGCAAGTGATAGTACTGGGTGTGGTTGTAATATTTTAACTTGAATGAGGATAAATAAGGAATAGCGCCCTACAGAATCTGGTGTAACTCCCATTCAGATGTAGAAGTTGACAAGGCTTGCCTAGGAAGGAGGGCAGTTGGCACACCCACATATATTAATAATTTATGACTAAAATACAGTATACACATTTAGGTAATTAACTCTTTAAGAAATCAAGGAATACAGTACAGTATATGCTAAATATTTTACCTGTCTCTTAAGTTTTCAATATTTATAAAGTAATTGAACATTTTCATTTCATACGAAACATTAACTTTATAAGTTAAGAAAGTGAAGGAGGTCAAGTACAGTGCCTGACACACCGCCTCCTTGTATACTTAGTGTGCTATGTCCACACTGTCTCAAACAGGCAGTCATGCCTATGGGACCCACTTTGACCTTTTCACTGTATGTTTTCCTAATCAGGGAATTATTTTCCACCCCATCTTTACATAAAACCCTTTTAATTATTCTTTGTATTAAGTTGATCTGATAAAATAAAATAGAGGTATTGACTCAGTAGTTCTTCAAGACTACAGTATTGCCTTACTAACTAACTACCTATTTAACAAGAAGTCCAACAATAATTCAAGTCACAAATCCCTTGATATACATTTTGGTTTCATTGATGTTCATCTGAAAATGTTAAAATTTCTCATTGATCAGTTTTTCAGATATGGCTCCTCTGTTGCTCTTAAAGCCACTACCAGTGTTCCTCTTAATACGTAGTCTGTCTCATAGTGTGAATAACTACACTCCCAGACCTGTACAGTACAGTACAGTGTATGATTTTCTTGGTGTTCCAGATTTAAGGTAATGTGTGTATGTACAGTTCTGTATAACTAGTTGCATCTTGTGTTCCAGGTTTCATGGACAGGCCAAATGATTGGAGATTTGATAACTACCTTGGTTTATTGTGGAGAGTATGGTAAGGCTTCAGAGGTGATGAAGGAAGCAAATACTAATGCCCACAATGTACTGGGAGCTATACCCATTACCTCATTACACACTCTGAATGAAGTTGCAGTTGATAAGAAAGATGCTGACATAGCTGTGGTAAGTATGAACATGTTTACGTTAACAATTACAATTTTCTATATTACCCTAAAGTGATGTTTTATGAAAAAGTAGTGTATATAAATAGACACATGCACATATTAGACTCTCCTTATAATGTGGTAATGCATTCCAGGAAAATATTATGTTAGGCAATCTACACTAAAGTAATCAGTGCATTCAGACGGAAATGGCAGTTACATTCCATCCCCAGTGAAAACCACAAACACACACTATAGTTCTGATCATGACAATGTGTTGAAGGGGCTGTCACAGTGGGCAAAATTTCCTCATTCCTTAGATAACAATACCATCGTGGATTTTCAACTCAAGCTACCTAAGAACATCGAACCTACTGTAATTTTTAGCCTGGGCGTAACACTTTCTGGGATTTTATACCAGAATATTGTTGACAAGAGATGCTGAAGTCACACCAACCTTCTCACTCCTGACTCTTCTTCTTCATCTATATGTATTGCAATTGAAATCTGAATAAACCTTTTTTATGAAATATGGCTGACACCAACTTGATGTGTAACCATCTACTGTATATTGTAGTTTTTATTTGAGGGACAATGGAATGAGAACAGGTCGGTAAATGCGAGTGTGATTGATTTTTTTTTTTTTTTTTTTACGTAGGACTGAGAAATGAGAACGGTGGAAGTTTTGCCTAGTCTGATACTGTACTGTATCCCTCTTGAACATTGTGGACATTTCAGTGTTATTGGGTGAGAGAGTTCCTGCTGGTTTGCTAACTCTTTACCTGCTGGTTTGCTAACTCTTTACCTTGATATGTGATGCACATTAGGAGCCTTCACAGATTAATACAGTACAGCTCCTCCCCGACTTACGACCACCCGCACTTACGACCTGCCTCAGTCGTACCAAAATTTGGTCAAATTACATATTTTCGAGTTCCTAAGTCAGTACACACAAAATTTTCGTTTGTAATTCACTTTAAAATGGCTGGCAAGCTTAAAAGTGAATGTTTTGTGGAGCTGAAAAGAAAAAGAGACGCCCATTTTAGATTTTCTATGTATTGACTAAGCATTTCCGACTTACGACCATTTTGACTTACGACCTGGATTTGGGTCCCTAACCCCGTCGTAGGTCGGGGAGGAGCTGTAATATTAATGAAACTGTGATAATAATACAGTACTTAAGTTTATTGAAAAACACACACACACACACACAGTAAGATCCCGATGAATGAGAATTTAATGTAACGATCAGTGTTGGCTGTTGGTGAAATACTACTCCCATGGTGTAACAAGAGTTAAGTGTGTACAGTATATCAAATAATTTTGAATATTTAATTGCATTCTATAGTGGCCTTTTCTTTATACAGAGCATAGTTATATATGCACTGGATGCTGGACACCAAGAGGCTGGGGAAATGGCAAAACAACTTCAATCCAAGTTAACTCTCAGCACACAGAACCGGGCAAAACTTAGTTCAGTTTTTGGTAGTGAGCTTCTAAGTTCACCATGAAGATTCTGATATTCTTAATTATTGAGTATTATGTAAACAATATTTATCGGTCATGTACAAAACTGGGACAAGAGGAAGTGTGTGGTACTTCAACACAGCACCCAGGAGAAACACAGGTACAGTATTCATGTATAGAGGCAGTCCCACCATTAACAATTTATAGATAAGAAGTAATTAGTATCATTTATATGTTAAACTCATGTATATTATGAAAATAATTTACAAGATTTTTTATTTTGAATCTATGATGGATAATTTATCAAAAGTCAAAGGGAAAAAAATAGTTTTCTTCCGGTTACATTTACAGTACAGTATAAAAAAATTGCTTTGTTTTATAGGATTGTCATTATTAATGTTACCCCCAATCAGTCTCTTATGCTATAAGTAAAATGCTCCAGTTTTCCCTCCACATAACTTCAGCACCATAGTAATTTAATTAACAGTTGCTGACTTTGTAAGCTGTTAAGTGCAAGAGAATTAATATGAAAGTGCAACTAATTTTTAGTACTGTACAGTAATTGTATATAGTAAACAAAATAATTCTTTAATGTTGCAAGCAAGTGCCATGTGTGAATACTATTATGAAATTTGTAGTCAATGTCTTTAAGCATATTTAATACTGAAACTAAGTTCTTATAGGAAGAGAAAGGATGGGAATTAGACACTGAACAAAAAATTGCCAATACAATTATAGAGAACTTAGTGATGATGGATATTTTACTTTCTATCATTTAATTTACTGAAACATACCTTGGTTAATCCCCTTGTTACTAATACAGGATGAAACTCCCATGTCCGGCATTTTAACTTACGGCAACTCCCAAAAATTGCATCGTTTTCAGAAATTCCTTTACCCAGCAAACCTCCCAATGGGTAGCAGGATCTCATAGTTTTGCCAGTTTGTCACTACGGTTATGTTTTCGTAGCGTGCCGATCGCTCCTGCCATTCAGTTCATTTGTTATAATTCATAGCCGAGGGTGGTGGTGTGCTTATTGAAGTGTTACAGTTTTATTCTACCCTTACTGAACTGCACCATGGCTCCCAGATTTCAAAATACCAAATGTGTTTTTATACCTAAAACACTTCAAAGAAATTACACTACATATAAAGTACAGTTACAGTATCAGTGACTCGTTACAAGTACATAAAAATTACAACATTCTAAATAATGGTAATTTATTATATCTTGCTTGGAGTTGGTCCTGTGGTTGCTGGTTATGGGAGCTTCAACCTGTAGTAGAAATGTCTAAATTCATATTAGTATTTTAACCATGTAAATAAAAGCTGTATAAATATAATGAAAGTGTGAATTCATCCATAATAAGTTAATCAATAATGTGTCATTTCCTGAGCTGTGTTAAGAGTCTTGGGTGTGTTAGGTGACCAAGGTGTTAGTCTTGGGTGTGTTAGGTGACCAAGGTGTTAGTCTTGGGTGTGTCAGGTGATCAAGGTGTTAGTCTTGGGTGTGTTAGGTGACCAAGGTGTTAGTCTTGGGTGTGTTAGGTGACCAAGGTGTTAGTCTTGGGTGTGTTAGGTGACCAAGGTGTTAGTCTTGGGTGTGTTAGGTGACCAAGGTGTTAGTCTTGGGTGTGTCAGGTGACCAAGGTGTTAGTCTTGGGTGTGTCAGGTGACCAAGGTGTTAGTCTTGGGTGTGTCAGGAAGTTAATCTTTGATTACCTCAGAGAAAAGTAATTCTGTCTTACCAACTAAGAGGACACTTGGAAATCCTACATATATTGCCCAGTTTCCACTCTGAAAAAGTACAGTAGGTTGGCAACAGGAAGGGCACTAGACAAAATGAAGAATGGAAAGTCAGCTGGAAGCTCTGGAATAGTTGTAGAAATGCTGAAAGCATCAGAAGATGTTAGTTTGTTGATGATGATTAAATTGATTAAAGCAATAATGATGGAATGTACCGACTGTTCCAGCTGACTGGCAGAGTGTGTTCGATAAAGGTAAAGTGTGATGCACCTGAATGTGGAAACTACAGGGGCCTGAAGCTGTAAAATCAAGGTATGAAAATTGTAGAAAAGGTGATAAAAAAATTGATAAGGGAAAGAGTGAACATTAATAAAATGCAGTTTAGGCCAGGCAAAGGGACTACAGAGGCAATATTTATGACCAGATAACTACAAGAGAAATATCTAGTGAGGGAGAGAAAGCTGTACTTTGTTGATTTAGAGAAGGCCTTTGACAGGGTGCTATGTAAAGTACTGTAGTGCAGTAGCCAATGAGAAAGTTATGGGTCGCAGAGTGTCTTGTTTGAGTCACTATGGAATTATATGAGGGCTCAAAAATTGCTCGAGAGTAAATGGTAAGGCAAGTGAGAAATTTTAAGTGAAAGTTAGAGTTCACTAAGAGTGTCTTGGGACACATTCTGTTTATCATGGGGCTAGAGGCACTACCACTGGTCTGTCTGGGAGTTGTGTGCTGATGACCGAGTGATGATAGCAGATAGTAATGAAGAAGCAGTAGAGGAATGAAAGGATGTGTTAGAATCAACATCTTGAGAGTGAATGTGGCCAAAACAAAAATAATTACTAGTGGGAAATGGCAATGTACTGTCTGAAAGAAAGGTGTTGGTAGCAATTCAGTATTGTGTAGGGTGGGTACACAAAGTTTCAGTGGTGTAAATGGTAGTGCAAGTTATCATGGGGCCTTAACCAGGCTGGAGAAATTCTGCCACCTGGGTGGCATGATCAGTGCTGGAGTTGGGTGCTGAAGCTAGAGTCAGAAGTGACTGGAGGAAGTTAAGGGAGTTGGTCTTTTTATTGATGGCAAGAGGACCTTCCCTATGTGTGAAAAGTATGATGTAGCAAATGGCATGAGGAATGTGATGTTAATGAAACACGGGCAGTTAAAGAAAATGACATGTGCAAGCTTGAGCAAGTGAAAACGAATATGGTGAGGTGGATGTGCAAAGTAATACTAAAATATAGGAACCCTGTTTGGAGTGAAGAGGGCAGCTGGGTATAATGAATAGAGTATTAATGAAGTTTTGCATAAAGACAGGCTATGGTGATTTGGGCATGTGGAGAGAATGGAGGAGACAATAAGAGGCGGAGGGGAAGAGAGGCAGGGGCAGGCTAAGAAGGACACGGAGAGAGTTGTAAGAAATTTCATTAGAGTTAAGAACTTGTCAAGAGGGACTGCAAGCTATCACAAAGCATGGAGAGCTGCCATCAGGTAATGGCCAGAAAATGATGATGATAATGACAGAAGAATGAATTTTATGTGCATCAATATCAAGGGGATGTGTGCCACCAGCAGAAACAAAAATCTAGATATTATGTATTTGTTTTAAAGTTGCCATAGATATACATGGGGTAGAAAAACTATACAAGCAAGAGTTAGGTGTATAGGTTAAAAAGAGAGTACTAAAGTGTACTAAATACACATCTATGGGAAGCCTGGTGGAGGTGGGCTAAGTTATCAGTGTGTATTACTCCCAGTGATTGAGTGCCTGGCTCCAAGTTAAAGGAGTGTTGTGCATCTCGTGGTCTCTCACACAACTTTTGAACCATTTAATATTTTTTTATAATAAAAATTTCCTACATAACAAAACATTCCATGAGGCAGTGTTGTAAGAGGTATTCCTGTGTTTATGTTCCCAGCAGTTGGACACCTACATGTATCACCGAAAATAATATACCTACATCATAATTAAACAACACTCACCACATCATTAAGAACAGCCCTGGTCATCATCACGTGTCCCCTTCAAGGCTAAGGGGCTCCTGTAGGTGGAGTGGAGATGACACTCTGACTCCCACACAGCCTCTGAGGAGTCTCGGGCTGCTTCACAATGTCAAGCTTCACCTCCAGAGACACGGTTTTTCTGGGTGCCTTGGTCTCCCCCAGACATTTTCAAAGTTACACAGCTCACTTCAGTCACCAAAACAGAGCGACTGATGAGAACACAAAAACAATGATAATGGCCGAGACTGTTCACAACAACAGAGACAAAGCACTTTACAATCACAAGAAACATAGTGAAAATCACTTCAGAGTTACCAAAACAGAGTAAAATGTAAGCGTTAGTCATGTCCTTTCCCTGTAAGGTAAAAGAATGATAAGTAACAACACCGATAATTATTTGTTGAGCTTCATGATAACGGCCATGTACAATCACCAGGGAACAGAGCTTGGTACTGTAGTGCACCGGGTGGCGGTGAACTGAGAGATGCATCGGCCAGACGATGACCATCACTCGTGCAGATTGTTTACATCACAAATAGGGTGGTGGTCTATATACAGCACAATCGTTAAAGCAAAATATTGTAAATCTGGTAAACCTGTACAGGATGTGGCAAATACTGTATAGAAAAAATATTTCAAAAGCAATTAACAAATACGTATTATTGTTGATGTTGTTATTGTTTTTTATTATTAACAAAGGTAGCAGTTATGAAACACTTTATGGGTATTTTTTTACCTCTGGTACCAAACTAATAGTAATATCTCAGTTAACCGAAACTCTCTGATGGCTGGAATTGAAATTTTCTCGACAAATTATGAGAAAATTCCATGAAAGATGGGGTATATTTTTCTGAGTTCGAAGGGTGGTTTAATGCGTAATTTCTGGAAATTCCGAGAAAATTTTTCCATTACCCAGAAAATTGCAAGGAGGGATTTTTTTTCCAGCTTTGAGAGAATTGTCTCATTCCCAGAAGTGCTCTACATCAATCGTTCCGGCTAAAGGAGACATCACTGAAAATCAGTTAAACTATAATTTGCGATTTGATAATTCACGAAGTCTTCTGGTACCTAACCAGTGAATTAGCGAGACTCTGCTGTACTTCCTAGGAAAATTAACCCAACACTAAGCTTACCTCCACTCAGTCCTCCAGCTTCACTCTGGGTAGGAGGGTACCGTAACCTCAATTACTTATCTCTTGTACAGTGATAAACACATGATCCATTAGTATTCCTTCACGAGTTAATATCTATGAAAAAGAAATTTTTTTGAAGTCAAGATTTATTGTTGAATTTCTAAAACAAATATATACAAATCACAATAAGAACTAAATTATGAATATTATAACAAACACCCAATTTTTCATTTATGTTTTAAAACTAAGATTCCTCTCAAATTCCTGATAAGCCTTTATTTCCTTATCAGTGACAGCTGGGCAGGTGGAGTGTAGAGCGGCTAATAAATCTTTCTCTTGTAGATGCACTAAATGGGTGTCTTGATCATACAGGTTCTTCTTCACTGCTGCCATGGTTGCCTGTAAGTCAGTCAAAAACATGAGTAATTTATGCAAAAAAAAAATTTCTAATAAGTTAACAAATCTTTAGCTATCTCACATTTGCCTCAGGAACTTGCTCACAGTTAAGCTACAAAGAATTACAGCAATAACACATTAGTCAAAGTTTTAACTATTCGTAGTCGATAAGCTTTATGTCACCATTTTGCATTTCAAAAATTTTTAAAACTAGTCTCTTACAACTTTTGCCCACTTGGTATCTTGCATTTACAGCCTCTAAAGGTGGTGAAATGGTAAAAGAAAGTGAAGACCCTTCTGTAAAGTTATATTATTAGATAAACTTGTGAGTGGAATGAATGTTGCAGTCAGGTGTAGGTTTTCAGCATATATGAGGTCACTTCACTCAGCAAGAAGAAAGAAAAAGAGGTAAGGGACACTGTTAAATGCCCCTATACAGTCCAAGTTTCTCGATAAATTCATGGCCAGACCTGAATAAAAATGGTAAAGGCATTAAGTTTATGGATGGAGGACAAACATCATATAAATGTGCCAGTGGACAAAAATGTTATCCATGAAAAGGTTGTAAGGCTGTTTTTCGCAAAAGTCCTTCCTCCATCCAACTCATCTGCCAGCGTAAATTTGGCCGGCTTCTCTCCCTACCTCCTTCACCACCATCCTCACCTGTGGAGCTGTAACAACAATACAGTAATGCTATCATGACCAAGATGATCAACCTCTACTACACATCATCATAATTTAAGGTAAGTTCAATTATAAACTGTTCTTTAATACTTTATTATAATTACTGTGGAATATTTCTTAATATATTTAGGAATTTATTAAAGGCATTATCATTAAAAGTTCGGTTCATGTAAGCTATCAACTGCATTCACAGATTTTCCAATTCATGGCCATCTGCAGAATAAATCCCCATTACTAAAGGCGTAACTGGTGTTAAATTATTGTCTGCCAGTATTCTAACGCTGCTTATACCATAAAAGTGACTGATGACAAAAGAAATCATAAAATACAGAACATTCAATCATAATGATAAATTGATTAGTTTGGAGTATGGAAATAATACTGTACAGGATACTAGCATTGTGAATTACAGCATATTATAATGTTTTACCAAGAAACCTGAAATATTCTTTAAAAATACATGAGGTATGTAATTATGTGGTACCAATGCTATTTACCGTATATACTCAATTGCAGTACAGTGCGAGTTTTTATGATCAAATTTTATGCATAGTATTTTTAAGGTGTTATAATTCATGCATTTCCATGGGTCATTTATGGTTAACAATAGCTACCTGGGTCTTGCTCATGATAGGCTAATCTTACCGAGCTGTGAGGTGTTATGGTTATTTTTTTAACTCGTAATTTCTGGTAGATATACTGTACCTGTATGTAACTTTTATTTATATTTTCTTTATTCAGTTACATGGAGACACAATCCTACACACATATTGTGGAGAAAAAAATAATAATTGTTATAAGGTCAAACACATAAAGAGAATGATCATTTCTTTGTGCAGGAGTTAGCTGGCTGAACTGGGGAGGGGGAGGAGTGTGTGTGAGAGTGAGGGACATTGCTAGGGAGTCAGCAGAAATAGTGTCTCCTAGTGTCTATGCAAATGGTGGTTGTGATAAACTTTAATTTAGCTTTTCCTTAATGGTTTTTAGCTGCATATTTTTACATCTAGATTGTATATTAATGTTGTTTGAAGTAGCATAATTGTTAAATAACATCAAGGTAGGTGGTATGGTTTATGAATGTTGGTAAAGGAGATATGTACAGGGAGTTTTGAGTTTGATTCAGGCTTAATTTTACTTATCATGCAGGCCGTTACATCTGTGATAATATTCCTTTGTTTTTCAGTATTTTATCTTAGTTTGTATTTGTACATTACTCTAGCCTTCCCCTTACCACTCCAGGCCAAGTTGTGAGCTATGTTGGTTATTTTTCAACTTGTAATTTCAGGTAGATATAGTTTGTTTTTTATACAATATTACATGCACACACAAGCAAAATAATAATATTCATACTGTTCAAAAATAAACAGGAATAAACTTTCCTCGTGTGTAAGAGTTCACACTTAGCAAGGGAGTGAGAGGGTCTCTGCTGCTCCTGTGTGTAGTGATTTTTTTTTTTACAGTAGCTAATGATTGATACATTTTAAAATATCTTGAAAACAGTGTATAGTACATTAGTCAATCATTTAACCGAGGATAGGTCAAACATTAGATACACATTATATGCTTAAATAATTTGACAGATTTATTCATGATCTTACAAAAAAAAAAATCTTTTATTACCATCTACCTTTGTGGTTTATGCAGGGAAACATTAATACTGTGACACAAACCAGAAAGATAAACAATGTCACACTGTCTTCTTTTCAGTAAGTTATATGTACAGTAATTTCACACATACTACAAGTCTTAACATATTTCCCTTCCTAGATCTGTAACCTCTTCTCACCTATGACCTTTCAGTTCTTGTATAGCCCATATCTTATTTCCATTAACAATTCATTACTTAACATATATACATTTGGATATATTATACAAACCTTCATTACCAAGTTCTCCAGCTCAGCACCAGTAAAGCCCTCTGTCTCTCTGGCTAATACTTCAAGAATGTTATCTGACTGTACGTGCATCTTACTCGTCTTGAGCTGTAAAAGATCAAATATACCATTACTGAAGAACCTCCATGCTAACTAATCACTACATAACTCATTCCCCCCTTTCCTGCCACGGTGTTTTCCTTAATGCATCTTTCTAACTTTCCCTCACATGGTGTAGTCATCGCCCACTAAGTAATCCACCATCTACATCTCTCTTCTACACCTTCTTCACTATTCCTATCCTTCTGCAGTCATTTAGTCATAATATCATCAGTGAGTGGACTGTACTGACCTCCTTCATGTATCCTCATTTTCTCTCTCGGTAATTTTGTAAATATTGTATGTCCAACAATAATGGAAATGTATCCAATGGAAATGTACACTCGGAAACCAGGTGTTTACAGGTATGGCAGAGTGTGGGAGGAGAATGCGGATGAGAGAGATAGACAGATAGAGAAAACTGAAATACAGACAGACAGACAGACCATCAAGTGAGGTAGGTTGTGATGGAGGTACACTCGGTTTGGAAGTGTTTATTTCCATTCATACTTTCGTAACTACAACCTATGATAATTTTTCTTCGTGTTCATATATAATGAAGATAATGCAGAGTATAAAATACCATAACAATATTTATACATAATGTCATCTATACAGCCGTACTATGACTGTGTGTGTTCATGCGTGTGTTGCCTCGTGATAGTTAGAGTGGGCCCCCGTCCAGAAAGCACACTGTACTAACCTCCAGCACCGACCCAGGTGGGCTAGAGAATATGGTTTCTGAGTGTACATCTACTTCTCATATACCATACCTGTAGATTTATACAGTAATGCATTTAATTAAACAGTTACTCCTTTGCAATACTGTATACTGTAGCAACATTCTTAAAACTCTTTCAACAGAATCATTTCAGTTCAATTACAATATGTACACAAAATAATGTAATCTATTAGCGAAGCCAGAACATTATCAGCCATCATTACATTGAGTTAACCAGGAGAACCATATGATTAAGTACAGCCAAGAATTTAATTTTTTCACATGTTGGCACGAACTTACTCCGAGAATATCAAGGCGTGCCTCATAATCTGGCAGAGGGACGTACACCAAACGATCAAAGCGGCCAGGTCGTAGCAAGGCCGGGTCTAAGTTACCCGGATGATTAGTGGCTGCACAAACCAACACTCCATCCTTTAATAAAACAACAGTAATTAAAACTTGGTCATAGCTGCTGTAGTGCCAGACTCTTCAACAACTGACAGTGACCGGGTGGGGAGTTGCCTTAATGGATCATCAAACACTCTTACAGCTACTCAATGCTGCTGAGAAAATTTACTTTAATTTTATGTTTTATATAAAAAATTTCCATGAATCACAAGTTTTTATAAAGACAATAATTTTGTAGATAAAAAATTAAGTGACAATACTAAACTAACTTATTAGAGGAGAATAATGATAAGTAGCAGCAGATTACCTTTGTTTACTACTCTTTCGTTTGAACCTCTTTTTCAGCTCTCCTTGATTTGCTGTTATCCCTCGTTTAGTGATAATTTGGTGTAATGTTAGGTGTTCAGGAATGAAACCACATCGTTCACTTAGGGATACTTGTACCTCATCTTCTAAAATTCAAGTAACCACTACCATGATTGTTTTTGTTATTGGCTTTGAATTATACTGTACTGTTGTTGTTGTTTTTTTGTGCGTGTTTTTACCATATAAATAGCATTTATGTACAGTCAACACCAGAAATTTGTCTTTAGCCAATGATATGAGGCAGGTGACACTGCATGGGGGAAGAGTTGACAAATACTGTGTTTTAAATGCCTAGTTATTTATGATAGGAGATTGCCTAAGAATACTGTACATTTCTTTTACAGTAAAACCCCCATAGCTCAGCATCTGATAAGCTGAGACTGCACCAGATAACTGTTGCACATTTTAGTAGTCAGCAGGAGCGGAGTCATGCTCAAGAACTGGGCAAGCTGACCCACAATATAATTATGTGTGCCTGTTGTTACAGGTAGACCTTCTGACAGAGATAAGTGCCAGTGAAGTGTTACTGTACAGATAGTGTTAAGTGTTAATTATAAAGTGTAGTGTTAAGTTTGTCAGAACAATTATTAACAGTGCCTGTGAAGTGTACACTACATACCGTAGTGTTAAGTTTGTCAGAACAATGTACAGTACTGTACCTTTACAAGTACTGTACACTGCCTGTGAAGTGTTGCAGACAATACAGTTCAGTTCGTCTGCCATTCACAAGCTCATCAAGAAATTACCCCCTTGCTATTGGTAAATACCTGATACGTACAATTGTTTTTATTTCATTATATATACAGTAGGTATACAGTATACGTATAGGCTCATCACCGATAAGTCGTCAAATTTAATCACTCGGCAAGGCCTCAACCCCCTATGTGCCGAGGTATGAGTTTTTGACTGTGCAGTCTATTATTTAATTAGTATCAATATTTAAATGTGGGAAAATAATGTTACAGGTGTAGCTCTGGATGAAGCCTCTGGGAACAAAGCCTCTAAAGTACAAGGTTCAGTTCCCCTTTTATTTTACTTAATATTAAAAAATAATAAAAACAACAAAGAAAACTAATGGAATCCAACAAGAATGCATCACCATTGTTGTTTGTATTGATGTTTACCAATTAGAACAAAGAGCACAACTCAAAACATAACACTTTGCCAGTCGCCTGTGAGATGGCGATGCATATTGCCACTGTTACATAATTATAATGAAACTAAAAAAGTTATAGAAAAATAATTTCAATACTCAAATGTAACCTAGAAATACTGTAATGAAAATATAAACCTATAAAATAAGAAAAATGAAGAGTATGGGTGTGTATTCTGTGTTGGAGGTGAATGTATGTGTAGAGTGAGTGGGAGGTTTGCCAACAGTACGCCAGGCGACCCAGCTAGTCAGAAACCATTTAATTTTCACAATGATAAATTCGCCCCTTCACTGTTAATTACTGCTGATCAGATGGCAGCACTACCAGCCAATGGTGTTACTCCCATAGAAGTACAAAATGAGTGTTTTTAATTTTTTGGCCCGCCCCATAGGTAGTTGCTAGAAATGAGTTGTAAATACTGTAAGTAAAATGCACTTAGCAACTCATCAACCCAGTCCCATCATCAAGTGAAGGAAAGTAACATGGTCACAAAGTCATGTATGGTCTAACAAAGTGAAATGTGAACTAAAAACATACTGTACTACTATAATTACTGGAGCCTTTATTGTAAAATCCCTCAATGATTGAATCCCCAGTGTTGCAAGTACTTTACAATACCACACCTTTAAATATTCCTGTTTAATAGTGTATAGTTGTTATCTGACACACAATGATCAAAGGCCATAAACTACAGAGTAATGAGAGTCTCTGTGTATTAATCTGTTCAATTATGTATTATGAGTTCTATGGATAAGTAGATACATCAATAAACAGTTCTTATAATGAGAAAAATCACCGAGTTACGGGTGAAAGGCAACATCAGCCCCACATTGATTAAATTCATCTTTATTCTTATAATATACAAAAAAGTGTACCATAATATAATCTTCCAAACACCAGACAGTAAAATGACTACCAGTAAAGGTCAAGTGTCACAGTTCAACAATAATGGTAGGACAGTGTGGCAAAATATCTGACATTATTTTGATACTGACTATAAAATCAAGGAGTGAGTGGTACCATCTTACATGTTGGGTGGTGAGAGAGTTGGTCAGCAGGGAGGCTCCTTGTATGCTGGTGGCTCTGACATCTGCTCCATCCATGGCTTGAAGTAGTTCATTCAAGATGTTAATGTGCACGCCACTACCACTCCCTTCTCGGGATCCAAATATTCCATCTGTGAGGGTGTAATTTTTTTTTTAGTGCACTGTAATAAATAATCAGCAATGGACGTAACTCATCCTAACATAGTGTACCACCGTCACCTGTAACGTCATAGATGGGAGAGACATGTACAAAGAACCTGTGAGCCTTAGTGTAAAAAACTTTAATTATGGTTTTAATGTTTCATTTCTTCCAGGAGTATTAAATATGTTTCATTAACAGGCCCACCGCCTTATTCATAACATCGTCACCTCCCACGCCCAAGGCTAGTTGTAACTTTCTAGCATGGAAGAGTTGTGCTGTATTGATTTTTCAGCAACTGGTTTATGTTTTTCATATGAAATCAATTACAATCTATGTAAAATTAGTTGATCTTTCATGAAAAACGATAACAAATTATATGGGGATTTTTTCCCCAAATTATTCACTTGCTGCTTAGTTTCAGTTATTACTTTTACTGTATACACAGTACTCATATATAATGTGATTTTTTATGATCAAACTTTAATGTAAAAGTAGGAGGTTGAACTCTATACATGTAATATTTTTGAGGTGTTAAAATTCATACATTTCTGTGGGTCATTTACGGTGAACAAATGCTACCCAGTACACTATGCCTTACCAGTAAGCTCCTTTATCCTGAGTGTGTCTACTATACACCTAGATTCTTTCTCTACATGAAGAAGAGCAGAACCTGATACAAATTAAGATTTACAGATAATTTTCCTTTCGTTTGCGTGTGTACATCGCTGCCTTTATTAAAGTTTATTTATACTGTACAATAATATCGTTAAAATTACTATCAATTGGGAGCATTATGATGGCATATCCCACTACTGTACTGTACACCTCCAATGACACTGGTTACCGTTGATAGGTGACAGACAGACAGCATCCCATCTGGAGGGCTGTGTTGCTGTGTGTGTCCCCGATACTTGGACAGTATCACTAACTTGTATAATTTTACATTTTCTATGCTCTCATTAATACTTTTTATATGTTTTTGGTACTACTGTTTATATGTCTACAAGCTTTGATGTGACAGTATACAGCTAAAGCTCCTTTAAGGGTGAATCTAGCAAAAATTTTAAATAAACTTTGGTGGGACTTCAGTTTCAGAGTTGGCAACACTGTTCATAGCACCAGCTGTAGTGGTGGTGTTGAGATGTGTTGGTGGTAAAGCGCGTAACTCTCACCAATATGTCAAGGGTTCGAGCCTCAGCCCGGACACAGGTGAGAAGGGTGTTATCCAGTGTGACTCTCACTACCAAACATCACAGGTTTCTTCCTCTATTAACACTGGATAGAGCGCCCAAACGGCTGATAAGTGGCAAAAAGGATATTGAAAAAAATATATAAAAAAGTCTAGGATTGTGCCTGGTATATTTTGATTTTTGTTATTTCATTGGTTAATATTCTATGGTGGTTTTAGAAGTTTGTTAAAATGTACAGTTTGGTTGTAATGGATTCTAGAATAAAAAAATCCATCCTCAGCAGTTCACACACAAACAATGGTTACAAATTTGAATAAGTGAAGTAATGAAAATTCCAACAATATTTTTTTAAACTAATAAATACTTTACAGACAATTTTACAGGTGAATATTAATCAAATGAAGGGCAGGAGTGTGAGTGTGTGTGTGTGTGTGTGAGAGGCACAACAAGAAAAAATTTAAAGGAGTGACTTGCCAAAATCTCTCATGTCAATCACATTTGCAAAATTTTTGGTGATTTTTTTTATGTTGAGTGACGTGACTGGCCATCAGCGTCTACACAGATCACTTACGATTCCCGACGCCCCGAGTTCTAGTGAGCAATTAGTCACCTCGAGTCTGAACAACTGCCATCAAGGAAGCAGTTGTTCATAGTGAGTTATAATGTGTTAAGAAGTGTTTTGAAATAATGGAATGATTCTTGGTAGGAAAAATTGGTGTCTAATTGGGGGCCGTGGTTCAGTGTTCCACATATCCTACTGAAATACACAAAATGATTCCATTATTTGAAATTGTGTGACATTCTCAGTCCCAATTTTGCATTATATTGAGGTCTGTCTACTGTAGTAAACAAAACATGGCTTACCAATTTCATCAATAAACAAAATAGTGGGCTGAGCCAGGCGAGCAGCGTGGAAAAGAGCAGCAATTCGCTTTTCTGAGTCCCCAACATAGGGTGAGAGGAGGTGAGAGGCATTGGCTGTAATGAAGGTACAGCCTTTAGAAGAAGCCAGTGAGGCGACCAGACGTGTTTTACCACAACCCCGAGGACCATACAACAATAATCCTGAAAAAAATACAAAATAATGTATGAATAATTTTTTTAATTACCAATATCCAACGGTAGTACAGACAATAAATATAGTGAACTTAGGATACATCTGCAGATCAGTTGGACATAAAGAAGTATCACAAGTGAGTAATGTCACAAGAAAAGTGTTTAGATATGAGGTACTTAGACATTGTGAAAAACTGGATTACCTGTGGTGTCTGAGTTCATCCTTCACTGTTGCACAATTGTATTCACTGTCTTCTAAAGTTAATCGTGAAAAATACATAATGCTCTAATCACTTTTCTTACCTCTAGGTTGCTTAAGCTTCAATTTATTGTAGGCAACAGCAAACTTTACATGGTGGATAAATATTTGGTCTAATTTCAACTTCACTTCTCTCAGTCCACCAATTGGTGACCCAACAGGCTTGGCAGTGATAAAGTCCAGAGTCTTGTGGATACTTGGAGTAATGGATGCTGCTTGGGCCAACATGATGTCAATGATCTCTTCTGGAGTCAATGTTTTCTGGAAAAAAAAATTTGTATAAGTGTTGATCATGTCAAAAAATGGTCAACCTGTGTATACCTCGGGTGCTTCTCCATCTATAAACTAGAGGTGACTCATACCAGACTTAAGTTACGCATCATATCTGCAGAATTTCCCATCGGTACTAACAAGTACTTCCTTGGCCTAACAAGTACAGTACTTCCTAGGCCTGTTTGTGTTTCTTTCTATCTATTTATACTCATCTTACTTTGGTATTACTTATCCAGATCACTCTCAGGGTGAATTAGTCTGGATTCAAAGGATTTTAATGTAGACAGTATACAGTACAGTACTCGTGGATTTTTATTTTGCGGTCCTTATTATTCGCGGATGACACCCTGGATGTACCCAAGAATGTCTGTGGGTAGTTTTAAAGTCAGCAAATGTTATTTGGCGATTGGCGGCCATTTTGAGAACCTAACCCCCGCGAATTTGAAGGGCATGTTGTACTGTAATTTAGTTCTGATATTACTAATTTACAATCTTTATTCTGTATTTAGATGTCTATTTTCCCTTCCTTTCCCAATATAACATGTCAACCATCTCAGTAGAATGTGTGCTCACTCAACTCTCATTCTCCATTAATCTTTATTCCTTACTCGCTCAATATTGGTTCTACATTGAGCATCTTTACATAAGTGCTTCAGGTTCCTCACAAGCATTCTTCTGCTCCATCTGTAAAGGCTTTACCTTTTTACTTCTCCTTATAATCTTACTTACAGTAAGTGCAGTACAGTATACTATAAAATTATCCTACATCTCATCAACTTTATTATGTTTTCCTCAAAAAAAATTACTCCATCCACTCTTACCTTTTCCGTGTGTTTTGCCTCAACTTCCCGCTGTGCAACTTCAGTCAGGGCACGAAGATCAGCCCCAACAAAACCTGGTGTGGCATGAGCAACTCTGGCCAATCCTGGGTGATTGCTGGGCAAGAGGTTGAGGCTATGAACACCTAGTATGTTGGCTCGGTCAGCTGCTGATGGAACATTCAGAAGAATCTAGAAAAAAATTTAAATAAAAAAACAATTACTGTATGTATACTTAAAATATTGTATACATTCTATTAATGAGATGTGGGAAACAAGGTGTAAATATATTAAAACACACCAAATATAGCAGAGATATATGCTCTACCATACTGTAGTGCACTAACTCTACATTCTATTCAGAGAGAGACAGTAGAAATGTGGGATCACTTTAGTCAGCTTCATATTAAGAATCAATAGAGCACAGTTTTATAGTTTACACTTCATGTCTGTGATCATTATACTGTAGAACTATACTACAGTACTGTATTTTGTCACATGCTTGTATCGAGGGTGTTTTGGTATCTTAAGAAGCACACATAAGCTAAATTGTATTACAGTAAAAGAAATACACTACATGACCGATGACAAATATAAGCAGGGATATGTTATTGTTTTGAATTTTAAAACAAATTTGTAAAAACTATCTCTTAATCACAATACTGTATATTATACTGTTCATAGTTATGGTGTAGTGAGAGTGACTGAGCAAAATCTCTTGAAACATATCATTGAAAAGAAGTAAAACAAATACACACACATATATACACTGAAAAAGGTTATCCAGTACTGTATCTATATTACTATGCTATGATAAAGTTGTTTGAATGCTCTCAGTTACTTTTCAGTTGGGCATGAAAGTGCATGAGAAGTCTGATGAGATTAACATAACTTAGGTATGAAAAATGGTTTACTGAACATATAATTGAACTAACAAACTAAATTAGCTTCAGTAATTAACCTTATGAAAGTATACTAGCTGTACTTACTTCAATTTCAAGCCGGCCTGATCTCCTTAGTGATGGGTCTAAGTGAAAGGGACGATTAGTTGCAGCCATGAGAGTAAGATTGGAAAACCTTCTGCCTTCATCTAGAGTTAAGAGAACCTGTTGCACAATAAATAGGGTGTCCAATAAGTAATGCAACCTACACCATACAATAACTTACTCCATCAATTATTTTATGTAATATCATTTTTAGTGTTTGTTATACTGTACAGTACCTGAAACATAAAACACTGTTACGTTAATGCATTTCATTCTCATTACATCAATAAACATAATGTTATCGCATTTGATGGGTTGCATTACTTACTGAACACCCTGGACGTATAATAATAATAATAGCTATAATTTATTTTTGTCATCAGAAGTATATGAAGTAAATACTGTATTATGGATCTTGTGGTCTCCATATCCTCTGTCTACTTTGATGTCTTTAAAATCATAATAATAACTTTGGTGCATCCCAAATAATTCTCTGAAGGCTGTTGGTAAATATCAATTTGAAAATGTTCATAATGATTTATTCTAAGTCATCAGCAAAAACAAAAGGAGTTATTTGAGCCTAAACACATCACTGTAACACTGATGTGAAGGAGAGACTGTATGGTGTTGCTCTTTGGAGGCCGTGATCCACAAACCTGTGCCGTGAGTCTGAGATCATGAAGACTAGATTCCTTTGTTCTCATGGGGCACAGTGAATCAATTTCATCTATGAAGAACAAACACGGTCCTTCTTCACTCAAGGCCTGTGCTCTCTCTGCAACCTGAAAATTCAGATGAGAATGTTATCATTTTGAGTCCAGTGTGTTAAGCTGCTTAATTTCTTATAGTACTGTATGGTACTGTACCAGATGGTCTAGTTAGAATAATTCATGATGAATCTTTTGGTAAACATCTCCAGGCCATGAAGATTATGGGTGTGTTGATTCTATGACTGTAATATTCCTCATCTAGTGAGTTATCACCCCACCTCCTTGGTAAGTGCACCTGACTGTGTTCCCACTACAGTACCCACTTTACTGTATATAAGTTTGTCTACATTGTGGGATTGATCCTCCACTTGTGGTGGGGACTGAACCCAGGACTACCTGCACCCAACCATACCAGTGTTATGGCTGGATGCCCTTCCTAATGCCAACCCACAGGATGGGAACAGTTGGCAAGGCAGGTTGCAACTTCCTGAAATAATTATGACTTACCAGTACTGTACTGTACTGCTTAGGTTACCCATTAACAAAATAACCCACTGCATATTTCCCCCATTTGGAGGAATCACTTAACACACCAGATCAAAAAGCACAAATAATTGTAATGATAATAAAATCAGTGTTTAAGTTATCATACTATACAATACTAACCTTAACAAAGTTTTTTTCTGTCTCTTCCTCATATGGACTAACAAGTTCAGCTCCTGCAGTTCCAACAAGACAGGCTCCTGTTTCAGCACACAACTGGCGAACAAGAGATGTTTTGCCACAACCAGGAGGTCCAACCAAAAGTACTCCTAGAAAGCAATTTTTTTGGTTTTTGTCCTCCCTGACACTGTTTCAATTATTGTAGCAACTAGCTATGGGAAATTAAATACATTTTCCATCTTGAAATAAAAGTCCCAATAAATTGCAAATTTATCCATTAGATAATTTTTAGCTTCACTCATCCAGTGGCTGGTCTGAGTTTCATGTGTACCTTAAGTGTGGCACTAGTGACTCATACAGTAACAGGTTTCTGTTCTGTATACAGTATTACTCGGCTTTACGCGGTTTCACTTTCCGCGATTTCTCATTTACGCGGTGCCTCACCAGAACCGAACTTTCACATTCCGCGGTGCATCTACTCATATACGCGGGAAGCGGCGCGGGCAGGATGCGCACAAGGTCGCCCAGTCATCAAAACATTACCGAGTTCTTCACCCACCACAGGCGGCCTAAGTCAGTGATAGTGAGGATATGGACTTGTATAGACTTTGAGGGGTTTGACAAAGAGGCCCTGCAAGCCTCTGTGGTGGATAGTGATACAATTGATACAAGTGATACAGGTGAGGGCCAATAATCTGCCCTCTGCCTCGGAACCAACCCCCCATCCCCGTGTGCACAGCCATCTTTTCTACTAATGTAAGTGTTAAAAAAACTAATATTATTGATATTTCTCTTAATTATTAATTGTGTGTGCATACCATCATAAAATTAAGATGTAATTTTTACTACAACGTAGGTATTGTGTCTGAAAAAGTGGAGTTTGGGGGTCAGGCCAGTCTCTGTTGGAATTAATCCCATATGTTCTGTTGTTCACTTTACGCGGTTTTCACTTTCCGAGGTACCCCATGAGTTCAATTGACCGCGTAAATCGGGGTACTACGTATTTATGGCACATCCAGTCAACTGCCTGAGGCAGACCATTCCACATACTTTTTGGTACAGTATGTCCACAAAGAATAAGTAAAGTAATAAACAAACTGTAAGCTAATCAGTATACCAGTGAATAATAATAATAATAATAATATAAATATATATATATATATATATATATATATATATATATATATATATATATATATATATATATATATATATATAGTGAGAGTACATCATCACAGACACCGAATGATCAAAGATCCTCAAGCAACAGACGATGATCCACCGTGTCAGAGATCCATCAAGGCCAGAAGAGAGGACTTTCCTGTTATGAATTTTACATTAGGCAGTTTCACTAACCTACAACTGGCATCATAACATGAAATATCCTGTGGGTTAGCAAAGGCTCACTTTGATAACAGCACTGCCACCATATATAAATACTGTATTTCAACAACACTGCATAAAGTTTATATTATATAGATGCATGTAAATAATAATGTACAGTATATTTAAAAGTCAATAACATACATGCAGATTTAATACAAATGCACGACTGACATTACCTGATGGATACATGACTCCAGCTTCACTAAACTGCTCTTGTCTGGTCCAAGGTTCTGTGATGAGTCTCCTCAGATATGCCAAGACCTGGTCCAGCCCACCCAAGTTCACTGTATCTTGTACTATCAATTTACGTCTGTCTTCACTCTGAACCTCAATGAGAACGATGCTAGAACTGGCAGTTACAAGACCAACTTCACTCGGTGACACTGAACAATTTACAACAATAATGTGAGAGATGCCCAAAACTTTAGCTAGAGGGTTTGTTCCACAATTTATTCTGCATTCACTCACAACACCATACAGCATCAGCAACTCCCTGAGAGAACTTTCAAAACATTCCTTATTTTTTCTGTAATGAAGAACATCTTCCACTGAATTTAAAACAACAATGACACTGATATCTTTAATGTTTGCACCACTCAGGGGAGTCACCTGAGAAGCACTGATAGTATAATTTCCTGTTACAACAGACGTTTTACAATTGTTCTTTCCTGTGTGCACGCAATTACAAGCTATAACTTGAAAACCCAAATCACAGTAAGCATTCATCACTGGCACAGCATGACAAATGAGGCTAAGATCACCATTGAGACAGACTCTAACATATCCACCAACAGCACCCCCACAGGAGACCAGGAGAGGTGCTGGTATAAGACACTGTTGCATGTCTTCAGGTCCATGACTGTTAACAGAACCCACATAAACTTGTTCTATCATCATGGATCCATATCTGAAAAAAATAAAAAAATAAATAAAACTGTGGATATTTGTCCGGTTGTCTAGGTAGATGGGTTTTTAGACTAACACCAGGAATCGATAGAATTGGATGTAACTATGGAAACTTTAACTACAATCTATTAAATTGATAAATGGAAACAAGAATCAATCCAGTGTTGCTAGATATAGGTACTCGGTATACTGTAATAAACACAATTTTAATGAAAGAGGAATACACTACGTAACTGAACAACGAATCGTAAGTTATTATTCAGTATATAGTGATGTTATTTAGTATATAACTTACCTAAAAAGGGTTTAAAATAGAGATAGTTTATGGGAGCGTGTACAGGACAGATGGATCAGCTGACACGTGGGTGGCGGCTCTCAGCTCATGACTCCAGTGATCCCAGCTACCAAGGAAGGATTTTGGGCAGCTTCCGGTAGTAAGCTAATAACTAGATAACTGCTTAATTGATAAACTGAAAAGAAAAAGTTGAAACAAATTTACTGCCACCTAAAAGTACCATAATGTTAACGGTAGGCCCATTGCCCCTTGTCCAATATTGTACTGTATAAAAGATGTAACATTAATTTATCTTTAAATGGTGGAATTTATTTTAATTACATATCTATATCTTCACATTGGTTACAAATAAGATCATATCCATAATGTATTTATTTGGATTTAAGCGATTAATTGTTTCAAATATACCACGAATAAAACCATTTAATCATTTATTATTCTTTTGATTGAAAATAATACTCATAACCAACTAATATAAAATAACCACAACTACCACAGAATCTTAAAAGTTGTGTTATTTTCTTAAGGACATTATAATAATTTATTAAGTAATCTTGTTGGTGAGACATAATGAATCAGTTGTTTTTGTTGCTGTCTAGTATTCCCTGTTTCTCATCAGTGAACTCTATTTTATCACTTGTTTCCAAGAAGTTTAATCGTCCTATGTGAGTATATTTAAGTAAAGCATATTTGCAAAAGTGACATTGTATAATTATTGGAGATTCTGACTTAATATTATTTACTCAGGAAAGGTTAGACCTCTGGGGGCAGGGACCTTACAGGGACACTGCATAATTGGGGAAAAATATTATACATAGTTATTAGTTTGGTTGATTATAGAGATTAATACCATGAGTAAATATGAAGACAAATATCCTACCTGATTTTAACCCATAATATTGCATTTGGTAAAGGTGGAGCAGACGGCTAACACCAGAAGAGAGTTGTTCAATTTTGTTCATTTTTTCCTACATGTTCATTGGATGATAGTAAGGGTAAAAGTAGAGGAGACAGTTATCACCAGAAATAACTTATGGAATTGAACCACGAACACGAAAATGGAAATGAGAATGCACAGAATATTTTAGAACCTAACCTAACCTAACCTAACCTAACCACACCTGAGATGGTCGTTTTTCCTAACTTGTCAACAAAGACTGTGATCGCTTCCAAAATTATGGAAAATAATTTATTTCTTCACCTATTAAGGAAACGTGAAATTACTGTTTGCAGAGTGTTATTTCCCTCTTCTTTCATGCCCTGTCCACTGACAAGTAATTTATCATCAAAGGATAGGCTAAAAAAAAATACATTGTTGTCATTTTTATTTTAGTATCATCCTGAAAATTTATTTGGTGCAGTTCCATAAAGCCTTTCTGCTGCTAACTGTCTCCTCCACCTTTACCAGAGTAAATATGATATTGCACAGAAACTAATAGACCTAACCAAAGAAACCTAACCTAACCATACCTTACTTCCTAGCGAGCCCCTTGGACCCCCAGCATATTAAGCAGAAAGAACTTACTTTGATATCTGGTATCAATAAAAGCAACTTTCTTGAAGCGGCATGGTGTAATTTTGTGGGGGGTTTTTGAGGGGGGAGGGATGATAGAGTACAGTACAGTACTCTTTGACCAAGCTGATTGGTTGTTGTACTGAAACAGACAAAGAGCGGCTGACAATACTGAATGTGCCAACACGACAGATTTTTTGCGGATATTTATGATAAATAATTAATTTCTTCGTGTACAAACCACATAGACATAATTTTAGTGTCATGTGATCAGTTTGTCACCGTGTTTTCCCCCACAATTTCCCTCATCCTTAATGCCCTGCCCACTACAGGTGATTTATGATTGTAGATAGAAAAAAAATAAAGAAAATTGTAAGATAGTTACACTTAAATTAAAATTATGTTGTACTGTATCATTTTTATTACTTAATATCATCCAAAGAACATCTGTGTTGGACAAAAATAATGTAATCGAACAACTCCTTTTAGTGTTGGACATCTGCTCCACTTTTACCCGGCATTTTTCCTATGAACATAATAGAAAAAATAGCAATTAATTTCTTTAACTTTTGAGTAATAGTTAAGGATATGGTCCAGGTTAACCAGCTACTAAACAAAAAATTTCCTTAATAGAAAGGAGTAATAGCAGAGCAGACAGTTCACATCGGAAGGTGTTCAATTACATTAATTTTTTCTACAGATGTTCTTTGGATGATAGTAAGCAATAAAAATTATCCAGCTTTTTTATTGAATTACAGTACAACTATTTTCTTATTTTCTATCTACAACCATAAATCGCCTGTAGTGGACAGTGTATGATAGATGAGGGAAATTGTGGGGTAAAACACGGTGAAAAACTGGTTTGTACACAAAGAAATGAATTATTTATCATAAATATTCCGTTGAAAAATTTGCCGTGTCAACGCTTGCTGTCGTCCGCTCTTTGTTTGTTTCAACAGCAGAACAACTGGGCTGCTCAGTCTGAGCATACTCTCACTTCACCAAAATATGTAAAATTACATCATGCCAATTCAAGAAACTTGTTTTCATTGGGTAACTACAGTACAGTACAGTAAACCCTTGTTATTCGCGGGGGTTAGGTTCCAAGGAATGGCGCAAATATGCAAAACCATGAATAGCAACTTATACTACCTTAGTGTTCTACTGTATACCTATACCAAACAACTGACCAGCCGTGGCAGCACTCATCCCCTCTGTTAACTTATATAATAATTCAACTTTCTTTGTCAGGGTCATCAGTGACTTCTGCCTTTTACATTTCACTCCACTAGCATCACTAGCACTGACACTTGGCAGTCTTTCAGGGGCCATTTCACACACAAACACTAAAGTTTTGAGAGTATAACACGAGATGCTGCGCGGGGTAACTCATTGTGTGCAGGAAAAGGCTCGCAAGCTAGCGACCATAGCCACCATCTGCTTACCGTGAATCGTCGAAATCACGAATCGCAAACCTCCGAATGACAAGGGTCCACTGTACCTTATATTTAATATCCAGGGGTTCAGGGAGTGGGGCCCCCTGGCTAGGAAGTTAGGTTGGTTAGGTTCAGGCTCTATTAGGTTCTGTGCATTGTCATATCATTTTTATTACTTACTATCAACCAAAGAACATCTCTGGATATTAGCTGTCTACTCCATACTGTAATTACTTAGAAAAGTTATTTCTTACCTCAGGAATAAAGCAAATTGGGTGAAGGATTAGCACTTTTTGTATTCAGACTTTACTTACTGGTTAGTTTCTCTCGTAGATAAAGACGCTGCCACCTACCCAAGAGGATGGCACTCTTCAGACAGCTGTTTATGTAAGCGAGAGAAGCCCAAATGTTTCATAGATATTACTGTACTGCTATTTCATATTATAATCACTAAGAAAGCAGCAGCAGCAACTATAGAAATTATTCTTTCTCATGCCAAGAAAAATAATAATATCCTTAAAATTGACAAATAATAATAGCATTTTGCAATTTGGGTAAAATCATCTGCCAAGGCCATATACTGTTCAGGACTGTCCTGCAGCAAACTTAAAAGAGCCAATACACTACAGAGGATCATCCTTATATCCTTACAGTATATGTCACATCAGGACAGTCCAGGGTAAAGGTGGAGCAGATAGTTAGCATCCGAATGCATTTATATATTTCATTCATATTTTCCACAGTTGTTCTTTGAATGATACTGAATAAGAAAATAAAAATGGCAATATACAGCATTAGGGTTTTTTTTTTTTTTTTAGCCTATCCTTTGATCACAAATTTAATGTTAGAGGGCAGGCCATGAAAGAACAGGGAAATAATGGGGAATAAACTGCAAACGCTGATTTGCATGGCAGTAATTTCACGTCTCTGTGCCCTTTGTATGTAAGGAAATAAATTATTTACTATCATTATGGTTCCGTGGGATCTCCCATGGCAACCATGTTTTGGCTTGTATCATCCGCAGTCTTTTTTTACATGTCAAGAATCGAATGACGATCTCTTGGGCGTGTTTATTACAATTTATGTTGGTTTGAAGTCTTTCAATTTTCTAGAAATGTTGTTTAGATGATAGTAAGAAAACCGAAATGACAATGCACAGGTTAGGAAGTTAGATGAGGTTAGGTATGGTTCCAATAAATTTTGTGCGCTGTCACTCCGATTTTCTTACTTAGTACAGCATCATCCAAACAACAGTACATTTCTGTATATAACCACTTTGAGTTAGTGGCAGGATGGCCCTGTATATTATAGCCTCGGTCCCAGTACACTTCCCTGTGGTACCCGGCTTGTCACTGGTATATGCATGATGATTTCGTGCTATTAATTACCATACACTGCTTGCAGTCATAATGAAAGTTTTTGATCCACTTTAAGACAGTCCAGTACTGTACAGTACTCCCACAGCCTACATGCATCATATACAGGACTGTAGGGGTATCGAGATATTAATGTTGTCTAGCACTCAGGATGGAAGGAAACTCTAATGTGGTTTTCTTGTATAATATATAAGTTATATGATAGACAGTCTGGTGCTGGAGATGCGGTGTGGTGGGGAGCTGCTCAGTAGAAGACGTTCGGTGAGTAGTGTGTTGAAGGAGGTAGATGTGCAGGAGCTTCGTTAGAGAAGATGTTGCCTGTTGCTGGCCTCCTGGTTGAATAAATGTTAACAGCGTGGAGCTTGCTGGAGGAGGTGTTGCTTGTTCAGGAAGATGGGCAGAATGAATCTCAATGGAGAGACAGAGCTTATATACCCAGCAGCAGCCGCCAGTCCTCTATGAATCATGTTGGGAAAACCCAGAAAGTCGCCGGTGACTAGTTTCGTTGCTAAGATACGGTAACATCTGGTTGGTTGCTAGGGAAGGCGGTAGCAGGTGGTGGCTGTGGCTACGCAGTTGTAGGCAGTTGTAGGGGAGACGTCCACTACAATACTCCCCCTTCCCTCCAGGCGGTGTAGGAGACTTGTTGTCTGTAGAGTTGCTTAGCACATGTGAGGCAGACCGGGCGGTGCATGCCTCATGTGAGACAACGGCGATGGCGTGATGAGCCGATCGCTGAAATACAACTGTCTAGATACACACTATCTGTGGGAGAAGGGAGAAAAAGGGTGTGTGGAGGCGATGAATGTTGTGCTTCCCTCACGACAGGTACAGGGTCGTCAGATGCGCCTGCTGGGGTGTGT